ATATATGTATCTGTATTCATATGGAATAGTAGCTTATGTCGAAAGGCCGGCTTTAGTATAATGCGGCATTTGCAGCATACGATTGCGAATGATTTACTGGCGCCGAGCCGTTAAAGAACTGTTCTTATATTCTTATTTAGCCCCATCAAAAAATTCCTTGTCGTTTAAGAATAAAGGGAATGCCGCATTATACTAAAGCCAACTTCCCGACACAAGCTACTATTCCATACGAACACAGATATGTACGTACTTATTTTGACGTAGAATACGTCTTACGTTTCCATATGGAAGCTATGTTCAAATGTTGTAGTTGAAATTTTTAGAGCTTCACGAAAACGCTCTTTCACGAGAACTAATGTAGCGATTTCAAAGAAAAGTGTGGTGTTGTAAAGATAAAATTCCAAGCCATCCAATTCGACAGATTCGTTTATGTAAGTAACCAAATCGGTAGCTGTCGTAGAAACAACGATAAATATTGGCTTATTTTGCGGTCAATTTTGAGCCTTTAGAGTGCTCTAGCAACTTATAATTTGCAGATATAGGTTTCATTTTCGGTATATAGGTTTTTTGGAGAAATTGAAATACTAATGTGTATAAATTTTATATAAATTCAACAAATATTGAGAAATTTTTGAAAAAATTAGCAAATTTTTTTTATTACCAAAATGCTCGAAACCCACTCGAATGATTTTGTTTTTGTTTGCTTTAATCAAAAATTCAAAGTTTTTCCTTTCGTTTGGTTTATGGGAAGTATTGGTTGATATCTTGGTAAGGCTTCCTCAAGTGGGCACCGAATTTACCAACATTAATATTTTTCAATGATATTTACGCAGCGCCGAGGTTTGTAGTGGAACAGTACCCTGTTTAATTATGTTGCGAAATTCCAAATAGTTTTCTTTTAAACAACGATTGAAAATTATTGCAGTGTTTTGGAAATTTTTATTTTTCTTTGAAAGTTTTTTTCATAGATAAATGCAGAAATGTGTATTACATAAGTTGTTGTTAAAAATTTTCGTCCACGAGGCGCAGAAATTGCTTAAAAGTTCAATTTTCAGAAAAAAATGATTGAAAAGCAAAAAAAAAAATATTTTTGCAACGCAAATAATTTCATTGTATAGTTTAATGTTTCTTAAATCTGCACCCAAAAAATGTTTTCATTCGGACACTTACTTTCAAAGAAAAATAAAAATTTCCAAAACACTGCAAATCATTGATTAAAAGAAAACTATTTGGAATTTTGCAACAAAAATTAAACAGGGTACTGTTCTACTACAAACCTCGGCACTGCCTGAATATCATTGAAAAATATTAATGTTGGTAAACTCGGTGCACACTCGAGGAACCTCTGTACTCATACTCTGTAATTGAGCAATAATTGTTATTTTACTAAATATAAATGATCGTTTAAAGGTCCTAAAGGTTCTACCAGTATACATATTTACCTAACCTTTAATGCACTTTTCTGTAGCTGTTTTAACATTACATTAAAAAATGCCTTGAATCGCATTAAAAATGTAATTCTTACGAAAACGACACATATATCTTAACATTAGGATCGAAAATTTACGCAATATATTCGTTGGACATTTCATATGTTGTCCTTATTATATGTATACCTTTTCGAACTGCGAACCAATTACCCATTCAAGTTATTTTAAAAATTACAAAAAGGAATTTACAGTTTGCACGAAAAAATTTTATGAGACTTTGGTAATGGCGCAAAAATATCACCCGCGTGCATTTATGTAAATTTAAAAAATGTTTTGTCAAATATTTTCAAGTACATGCTTGAAAATTTGTGACACGTTGATAAACACGTATTTTGCCCATCTCTAATTACAACCACTAAGCTATACATATGGTACATAGAGTCACTCAAATAAGGGACCACTTGTTGATTTTTTTAAGTATTCGTAATGTTTTCGAGCTAAATTCTTTTTGTTATTTCTCTATAACAATACCACCCAAGCTTTAACCAAACCATGTAAATCACAGTTTCAAACTTAATACAAAATTTAGGAAAATACAAAAATTGCTCATGTACATACATACGTATAAATCTTACTCAAAACTTTTCTGCAAACAGCTTCAACCCGGCGATCATATTCTCACCGTAAACGGAGAAGATGTCAGAGAGTCACCACGTGATCATGTTATTCAACAGGTACGAGGTTGTGAATCACAAGTAACTTTAACGGTGTGTCAGCCTACGTACAGTAGCATAGCACCCGGCCGTAAATCAACGCTCCTTTCAGCGGGGAAACGTGCGAAATTACGGACGAGGCCAAGTCGTGTACGCTTTGCTGAGAGTGTCTGTGTTAATGGCTCTCCATTGTTTCCGGTAAGAAGAATTATGTATACTTCATCTAATTGTAATATTATTATTGTAAGGCAGATCATAAATAATTTTTATTGTATTTAATAATCCATAAGGCATCAGCATTCTCTTTGGGCGACATTTGTGTGCCAC